GGGGATGACAGAAGATGAGATGGTTGGACGGCATCACCAACTTGATGGACATGAGTTTGAGCAAGCTCTGGGAGTTGGTAATGGGCAGGGAAGCCTGATGTGCTGCAGTCCATGGAGTCACAAAGAGTCGGACATGACTGAGCCACTGAACTGAACTGAACTGAGTCACCTGGGAAGCTCTGAGCCACCACATGGACATATATCCACATGTTTTTAGATTCTTTCCCCATATAGGCTGGGCTTTCCTGGTAGCTCAGCTAGTAAGGAATCTGCCTGCAATGTGGGACACCTGGGTTCAGTCCCTGGGATGGGAAGATCCCCTGGAGAAGTGATAGGCTACCCACTCCAGTATTCTGGCCTGGAGAATACCACGGACTGTATAGTCCATGGAGTCACAAAGAGTCAGACACGACTGAGTGACCTTCATTTTTCCCATATAGGCCATTACGGAGTATTGAGTAGAGGTCCCTGTGCTATAGTAGCAGGTTCTTATTAGTTACCTGTCTTATATATAGTAGTGTATATATATATCAATCCCAATCTCCCAATTTATCCCTGCCTGCAAAGGTTCGATTCTAAATGATATTTAAAGACATTTCTATGTTTCTAGAACCCAAGTTCAGGCTCAATTCCTAGTTCAGGTTTCCTTTTGCTAAGTCATTCTGATTAAAAACAAATGAAAGCATTCAGAAAAGGCCCCTACATCCTTAAGAATTATTAAATGGGTCTTCATAAAGAGCAAATCTCTGCTTTTGTCAGTCCTACACCCTCCCTAAATAGGGACTTCACACACAGACCCTTGGACCTAACAGCCAACTGTTTTTCAAACCTGAATGAAAATCCAAGTGAGGTTAACTAATTTTTTACCCTGTGCAATAAGACTGCATTATCACTAGAATGTAAATATCAAATCTAATCAAAGTGATTATCTTAATTTATTGCTGCCTTAGTTTTCTTTCAGGGTCATCCTCTATTTCTCTCTTGTCCTTTCAGAAGGCAGGCAGGTTGGTTGGTTACCCGGCATTCCATACAGAAAGAAACCTACTAACTGTCACCATCCCTAGGGACAGAAACATCCTGACACAATACTTCCTACACTTCACTAGGGCAAGTTCCATTGAATTAGACTTTAGTGAAGTGACACTGTGAAATGTACTCCAATATAGTGTAGCTAATACCCAAACAGAAAAGTGGGAACTGTCTCCTGAAATCTGCTGCAGGTACATGAAAAATTCCAAGGAGAATAAAAATGACAAATCCCTGCAGTATGTCACATTTTTATTTCATGAAGATGGAAAGTGACACAGCATGATATTCATCTTTGGGAAGATTGAATAAAATGTCATCTGAGCCACCAGTTTAAAGAGACTCCTTTAAAAATATAAACTTGATCTAATGTGTTCTATTACAGATTGAACTTCCTTTATAGTTGTCCTGGAACCTAAACTACATAAAAATATTTTTATAGCTTTAACTCAATTGCCTAAAATAACTGCTGTTAATAATGGATTAGGCCAATGTTACAAAACTCTTCTTCCGTATACGTAGAGATAAATGATCAGACCCAGTTTTGTTATGAGACAGCAAAGGCTAGTGGTTAGCAGTATAGGTTCTGGAGTCAGACAGTCTAGCTTCAAATATAGCCTTACCATTCAATTGTCATGTGACCTATATAACATACTGGACCACTTTAAGCCTCAGTTTCCACATCTGCAAAATGGGAATACCAATAGTATTATTCCCTTGAGACCATTTTTTTTGCACATTCCATTAAAGAATGTTACAAAGCATTTAGGACAGTGGCGCACTTAAGTAACACTTGACAACTATTAGTGATTGCTATTTAAAGACAATTCCTGTTAATGATTGGGAATTAAACATTTAAAAGTTATAATTTAAAACAATAGCATGCACAGGTATTAGACAGCCATCTGTTCTGCCTGGTAAACAATTACCCGCATGAAAATTATGTACCAACTCCTTTCACTTTTCAGTATGACACTGAAATGATAACAGAGAAATGGAATACAGTGCTGTGATATATATGAAGAATTGTATCAGCCGACCATGGATCTAATCGTCCACCCTTACTCATTTGCACCCTGTTTCTTTTTAGACTCAGGCTCATTTCTTCCAGCCTTCAGGCTGCAGGCTATGTTAATCTGCAAAGCAACCCCAAAGCTTGTCCTTCACACTGGCAAATAATAGGATACATGCAGCCTCATTCTCAGGATGCTGCTTTGAATAGTGTCTAGAGCTACAACATCCCCCTTGTGGTCATATTGAGTATTTACCAGGCTCTTGGGGAAACCAACAAAAACCTCAGCGATATGTGTACCCCCAGAATCATCCTCTCAGACATCCTTTAATCAAATAGTTAACACTATTTGATTCCAGAATTCTTATGATTAACACTTTGTGGTCTTTAAGTGTATGCAACAAGAAGGAAAAAGAGCAAATTCTTAGGAGAACCAGTAGATAAGAGAGATGTGAAGAGGATACAGTGAATACCAATTATCCCACTTGCCCTCCTCCGTGTCATATGCAAGGTAGGGATGTGAAATTTTCAAGTTCTACTTTGCTTCCATGTTTAATATTATTTATCATTCCTCCCTATGTTTCTATGTTCTTTTTTTGAAAATTTTTATTGGAGCATAGTTGATTTACAACGTTGTGCTAGTTTCAAGTGTACAACAAAATGAATCAGTTATACAAACACATATATCCACTTTTTTAGATTCTTTTCCCATATATGTCATTACAACCTATGGAGCAGCATTCCCTGTGCTATACAGTAGGTCCTTATTGGTTACCTACTTTATATACAGTAGTGTGCATACCTCAACCACAAGCTCCCAATTTATCCCTCCCCTCAATGTTCTTCAGCATCAATGTACTGTTTTAGTATACAAATATCCTAAAAATAAGGGTCATTAGACTTGGATGACTGCAGAAAAATCTACTTCTGAGGGAACTAACAAAATAAGAGAAATGAAAGCACTAAGTAGACAAGTAAGGATAATAAATAAAAAATAAGAGTGTGAGGGTACTTCTTAAAAGAACATGTATAAAATATAAACAATATAATGTTGGACCTTTATTTTCTTACTCCCACTTCCCTTCTCTCTAACAAGGTAAACTCCAGCTGTCTTCTTTCCCTCCCAAACTTCCCGAAAATTTCCTTCACAAGTCCTCACATCGGAATAGTGGAGCATCTTTCTCTTTTGAAATTGGACTTTGAGACTTAAGAAGTCACTGGCATCTTGTTACACAACCCATGCCCACCGTCCCATTCAACAGGTTTCGAGATGGGTCTGAGGACCTGGTACAGAACACAAGTTTGTGTGCCTGACACACAGTGAAGCCAAACCAACCAAAACAGGAGTTTGGACCAGAGAAAGGTTTTTTTTTTCCCAGAGAAAGGTTTTATTACAGGGTCAAGCAAGGTTAGAAAGGGTGGCTCATGATCTAAATAAATCCCTGAACTGAGAGCTTTTAGAAAGTACGTTTTCATAGGAAAAATTTGGGGTAAGGGCTGCAAGGCATGTGACTTCCATCTGGTGGGTTGGTAGTGAGGAATCTTGCCCTCAAGTTTAAGTTACCATCCTCTATCTGGGCAGGGCCTACTTCCCATAGAACTCATAAATACTACGTATACTCAGGTGATGTTAGTGGTAAAGAGCAAGCCTGCCAAAGCAAGCAGCAGGGGTTCAATCCCTGGGTCGGGAAGATCCCCTAGAGAAGGAAACGGTAACCCACTCCAGTATTCTTGCCACAAATTCCACAGAGGAGCCTGGTGGGCTACAGTTTGTGGAGTCACCAAGACACAGCTGACCACACACTCCCTGAGGAGGAACCAGGGCCGGGCCCCAGTGCTGTGGTATTCTTACTTGACTATGCCTCTCTTGTTTCCGTCCCCTAATAAGCAACTGCTTAAATCTGCCTTTTGGAATTCAGGGTACCTTAAAGAAGCTAAAATAAGTCTACAAACAAGAAACAGGGGGGAAAGAAGGGCTTTCCTGCCCAGGTGGGCCCCACAGGGGCCTGCTTGGCTTCTGAGCCTCCGTGAGGCCCAGCAAAGCTGGGTAGTAGGATCATGAGCTCAGGTATGTTTATCTTTCGACGGTCTGCACGATAATTAGCCTAAGATAACCCAATGCTTTGTATGAACGAAAGTCTTCTTTAGTAGTTCAAAACCCAAGGTCCCTGTGCTAAAACACAGAAAGAATTCGCCTAAGGTCTCCCTATGCAGGTGTATTTCAAGTTACGGCAACAGCAACAGGCAGTGAAAACACAAAGGACGAGCAACAAAGGTTTTAAACCCCAGGTTTACATTGAACAAAAACGCAGGACAAAATGGCGCCCTCCGCTAGAAGGAAAAGTCGACTCGCGCGGACTTTGCGGCCGCCAGCATTTCCCAGGGAAACGGGGGTGGGAGGACGAAACTCACGTGAGCTGGAGCACCCTATGACAGCGGTAGTCAGACTCCACCCCGTTTTTCATTACTCCCTGTGCACATGCGCTCCAGGACCTCGGCGGGTGGCCAGTTGCGCAGGCGCAACAGACACTTCCTCTCACGTAACTGACGCAAGGAGACTGTAATCTGTTCGCAGTTTATCCCGTGTGACCTTGAGTCCTTCCTGCCTCCGAGGACCGGGGTTGTCCACAGTTTTGCCTTCTGCTACTCTTAGGCCTCCTCGTCTCTCACGGAGCCCTGACCTGCCGCAGCCTGCACAGAAGGACATATTGTTCCCAACTATCAGGCTTCGAAGCGTAGTAGCCGTAGCTACTGACTCCGGGCGCGGCGTACAGGTATTCTCTGATCAGGCAGCACGGGCGGCGCCTCAGAGGATGAGCGGGCTTCCAGGCGGCAGCGGTCAACCCCCGCCCCCCACCCCACGTGGTAGGAGGTTTCCAGAAGCGCTAACACTTCTGCGCCGCGCTACCCTCGGACGCCCGAGCGCCTCTTTGCTGTCTCGTACTTCCACCGTCTAGCAGCCATGATAAGCGCCAGCCGAACCGCAGTATCCCGTCTTGTCGGCACCGCAGCCTCCCGGGGCCCCACAGCCGCCCGCCACCAGGTAAGGGACTGCCGGGCCCTCCCCGAGGGGCTCACGGTCTTGGGACTCAATGCTGCAGGCCGCGGCCTTCGGGGTCAGAATCCTCCAGGAAAGAGGAGAGATGGAAAATAACAGATCTTCAGTATTCAGTGTTGCTGATTCAAGGATTAATTCAGGGTTTTGCCTTTCTTTCTTTGCTGAGTCACACCCCTTGGGAGCGTAGAGTTTTATTTCACCGTTATAGTTCACCAAGTAGCTGGTAGTCGTTCTGATAGGCTTTTTGATACGGATTACGCAGTTTTGGCCTTGAGGTCGTAGTCTATAGGGAAGGAAAAGCTATTATAGTTTTCATTTTCGCTTAGGGGTAGAAGGAGTCTTCTAAAATCCGGAGTGTGCAAGGACCCCGTTACTGTGATATGACGAAGGAAGAAAGAGCATCAGAGCAATAAATTAAAAGTCAAGCTCTGATTTTCTTGTTTGCGAACATTTAATAGTTGTTTTCCCAGAATCATCATCTCCGTTATTTCAGAAAATATAAGCAAATCGGGAAAAGGCCATGGAGTGATTGCTCATTATCGTGTAAGACTAGAAATACATCTTTTGGAATTGTGTTTCTTTGAGCTCAGGTTGACAAAAGGACGACTTGGAATACCCTGAGGTGAAAATGTAACAGGTCTTTCATCCTGATCTGAGGCCACTCCTGACATTCCCCCCCCCCGCCCCGCCCCAAACTGATTCATAAGGTTGCTAATTCTAGTCCCCTTAAAGCATTAGCTTGGCAACATCAGGGGAAATGGCTCAGATTAAGTTAAATCTATATTTGCAACACACACATGTGTGGATCTTAAGTGGACACTGCTGTGATAGTGAAATTGAGTAGTTATTTTGTAATGTATTTTTGCTTCTCCAGGGAACGTTTGGCAGTGTTTGAAAATGACTTTGGTGGTTACAATCTGGGTAACCATGCTACTACTAGGTTCTAGTTGTAAAGATCCAAGTTGTTGCTGAACACCCTGCAGTGCATAGAACAGCCCAGCTCCCAGCAAAAGTTTTGTTCAAAATCAATAATGCCGAAGTTGAGTAACCTTTTGGTAATGTAATTCAGGACAGTTTTACATGAATTTGTTTGGTATTTGGAAAACTTATACTTTCTTGGACTTGATTGCTGTGTCAGTACCGTTATGCCTGTTATACATAAAATATCTTACTATTTCAATGAACTTTATGCATGGTAGCCACTCAGAATGAAAGTCTCAAACGTTCACATATTCTTCAGAAGAATAGTTAAGCCCAAGTTTTCATACGTAGTTGATAGCTGATGCAGTTTTTTTTTTTTTTTTAAGGATGGCTGGAATGGCCTTAGTCATGAGGCTTTTAGAATTGTTTCAAGGCGGGACTATGCGTAAGTATAATTTCATTTCCTTTAATAGTAAGATGATAAATATTAAGTCCTAGAGCAGTGGTCTCTAAATTTATGATTATTTTGTTCAGGAAAAAAACCACTTATATTTATTAACAGAATGTTTATTTCACCACAGTAGCAAATAATTGTTTTCTACCAAACCTTCTTCAAGGTTTACCTTCATATTGTAAAATAGGTCTTTTTTACCACCATCTTGGAGACCACTGTTAACTGATCGTAGCATTGTTTTAAATGTCTTACAGATCAGAAGCAATCAAGGGAGCAGTTGTTGGTATTGATTTGGGTACTACCAATTCCTGTGTGGCAGTTATGGAAGGTAAACAAGCAAAGGTGAGCATAATTGGAGGCTCTGGACCGTATAGTGGTAGCTAGTAGACAATTTAGAATTCTGTGTCCTTTGGCTTAGATAAGGGACATTTTAAAGGTTGCGTTTAAATTCTTAAGACTCTCTTGAGGTGCATCTTTGTGCTTAATTTATGCTGGTAATAATCAAATGGATTTAACTTCCCAGGATTTAAGTGTGTCCTAGTACAGAGGTAATAAAATTTTACCTTTTTGTAAGTCAGTTAAACAAAAGTTAAAGGTGCAGAAACAGTCTAGAAGCAAGTGGAGCTCCAAGTAATGCAAAGGCTGGGTCATAAGTAAATAATGTTATTTATTTCCTGCTGTGGTAGAGGCTCTTCCTCCTGAATCCTACCTATTCTGTTATTTTTTTTTTTTTTTTTAATATTTTGCTCTTAAAAATCTTTATTCCCACATGGTTCTCCTCAATAATATTTGAAGCACCTGGATCTTTTAATTCCTTTTTGGCGATTAAAAAATAGTTTTTTTCTTTACTGCGCTGGGTCTTCATTGCTACATGAAAGCTTTTTCTAGTTGCGGCCAGTGGGCGCTACTGTCTTGTTGCAATGGCTTCTCTTATTGTGGACCAGGATCTCTAGGGTGCTCAACCATCAGTAGTTTTGGCACACGGGCTTAGTTGCCCCACACCTGTGGAATCTTCCCAGACCAGGGATCCAACCGGTATCCTCTGCATTGGCAGGGGACCACCAGGGGAATCTGCAAATTTTTTTTAATGCCTGAAATTTTTAGCCATCACCAAAACAAAAGTACAATTAATTGTATGACAACAGTAAGAAAGATCTGATTTATATATATTCCTATGTGGTTTTTTTTTATGTTCTTAGTTGATTGTTTCAATCTCAAATAGCAGTTGCTTACTGCATCAGTATTTACAGGGCAGAAAAATATCCTCACTAGTACTGCTGTTTAATGTTTGCTCTGTGTCTCAAATGATTGATACAAAGACAGTGGTGGTGACTGGAACCTTACTCTGTCCTCCTTTGGGAGTTTTAGGTGCTAGAGAACGCTGAAGGTGCCAGAACCACCCCTTCAGTTGTAGCCTTTACAGCAGATGGTGAGCGACTTGTTGGCATGCCGGCCAAGCGACAGGCTGTCACCAATCCAAACAACACATTCTATGCTACCAAGCGTCTTATTGGTCGGCGATATGATGACCCAGAAGTTCAGAAGGACATGTGAGTAATAGTAAGACTGTATTTATTTGCAAAGGCTGTATAGAACCGACTTACTAGCAGGATCCCTGGGGACAGGCCCTGCCCCTGCCCAGAGGGTGTCTTCTTCAAAATATTCAATTCTGCCTTCACAGATTAGGACTTTGCTATGTGTGACATGATATATGAAGATTTGGGTAGTCATACCTGGACCATGTAAATTGGTGTTAAACACGAGACAAATAATGACATAGGCTTCATCTTGTGCTGATCAGATAGTTCAATATGTTTTCAAGGTTTATCCTTGCTGTCTCATGTTATCAGTATTTCATTTGTTTTTATGGCCAAATAATACTCCATTGCACACATACATAGAGAATTTAGTGTTTATTTGTTGATGACATTTGGGTTGTTCCCACTTTTTGGCTGTTACTGAGTAATGCTACCATAAACATTTGTAGGTTTCTATGTGGATGTACGTTTTCATTTCTCTTGGGTAGACATCTAGTAATGAAGTTTCCTAGTAATATGGTATCTCTGTGTTATCCAAAGCAGCTGCATAAATTTTTGGTGAGAAGAATGTTCAGGTTTCATCAGGATGTTTTTACATGTTAATGATTACTTTCTAAAGGATTTCACTAAGTGAATTCCTGAAGTTCTCATTTGTTGACCATGGATCTCGTCGGGTGGAAGATGGGCTTTCATGGTGTATGGTAACTTCATGATAGATTGTGCTGGTATGTTTTCTCAAATATTTGTGTCTTTCAGTAAAAATGTTCCTTTTAAAATTGTCCGTGCCTCTAATGGTGATGCCTGGGTTGAAGCTCATGGAAAACTCTATTCCCCAAGTCAGATTGGAGCATTTGTGTTGATGAAGATGAAAGAGACTGCAGGTGAGAAAGCTTAGTTCATATCTTGGAAAATTCAGAAAACTGCATCATTACTCTGAGATCACTGGCTTCTGTATCTCATTGACCTTTGAATGAGTTTGCAGTGGCTTTTGCACAGAATACCTAGAAATGGCAAAACTTCATTACTCTTTCTCTACAAATTGAACTTCTCTTCCAAGTTTTCCTAATGGTGGCTTGCATGTTTATTTTTCCCAGAAGGGAAACCAAAAGACTACACGTTAAGCTTTTGTGTCTGTTAGATAAAACTTATAACTTCCTGTTTGAGAAACAGTGACTCTTTTAAGTCTAAAAAACTAGGTCATTGTAGTTGATGAGCCTTCACTAATGTGTTAAAGGTGAGATCTTGGGTTTTTTAAATCACAGTGTTTTTCAATAAGATCTCTACATGTTAGGTCATATGCTAAAAAACTAATGGGTACTGTTTGTGATCTCAAGAGGATGACATGGGTTGTCAGGCTGCATTATTAATTGTAGCTTATTTTATCTGATAGGATTCTTCTCATGGTTGATTTTCATTGATTTCTTTTCCAGAAAATTATTTGGGGCATACAGCAAAAAATGCTGTGATCACAGTCCCAGCTTATTTCAATGATTCTCAGAGACAGGTGAGTTCAGTTAGCATTTTTAGTCACGAAATAAATGGTACTTGGGACACAAGGGTAAAAAATGCATTTTTTCTTTTTCTGTAGGCCACTAAGGATGCTGGCCAGATATCTGGACTAAATGTGCTTCGGGTAATTAATGAACCCACAGCCGCTGCTCTGGCTTACGGTCTGGACAAATCAGAAGACAAAATGTAAGTTTGTGTAATAAATTTCCACTTATATGCGTGAGACTAAGTTCATGGAATCTTGAAATCTATCCTCAATCATCATCTTGATTTCTTAGTGTTGAGCCTTAGACTAAAAATGTACTGCCTTGACCTTTTCCCCAGGTTCCTATGGTCTGTGTTTTGCATTCATTTCAGGACTATTCCTTTGATTACTTTTTCCTCTTTTCTTTCTTTCTTTCTTTTTTTAAAAGTACTGACTATGGTTATTTTACTCCCTTGGTATGCCTGTTGGCAAGTATTCATCCAGAAGTTTAGCATTTCATTTTAACTCTTACATGTTTTACATGTTGCTTTAAGGACCATATGTTAAGACATACGACACTTAGGCAGTCGTCAGTTTTCATAATCATACCTGGGTGGGGGGAAATAGCCAGGTGTATGTTAGTTTGGTGACTGAACTCTACCTGTGATGAATTTGGTTCTTGAAGGCCTTCTTTTTTCTTTCTAGCATTGCTGTGTATGATTTAGGTGGTGGAACTTTTGATATTTCCATACTGGAAATTCAGAAAGGAGTATTTGAGGTGAAATCCACCAATGGAGACACTTTCTTAGGTGGTGAAGACTTTGACCAGGCCTTGCTGCGTCACATTGTGAAGGAGTTCAAAAGAGAGGTTAGTTACCAGTGTGGTTAATATGTAGACATTGAAATACTGAGAATTTCTTTGGACTGCAGTTTGCTTTATGATTTTTTCTCCCTTTAGTAGACTGTTGCACAGTCCACTGAAATTGCATTTCAGTTTCATGGGTGCTCTGAACTGTTCCAGTTATTGTAACTTCAAATTGTGAACAGACAACAATGAAAAGGATACAGTACCTGGTGTACAATAGTACTATGGCATTATATGTAGGAAACCTGAATGTCTTTGGATTGGGGAATCCACGTTTTTGGAGAGAAGTGCTAGAACCAATCCTCACAGATACTGATGGACAACTATATAGGTTTCCTCCACTATCTGAAAATGTCTTCCTGTGAGACCTATGATAAGCTGAAATGTTGTGAAGCAATTACCTTAGGGCACCTTTTTTCTAACAGATGCACAAAACAAAATGTTCATATGCTTCCAGATAGTTCAAAGCTATGGTGGCTTGATACTCAGATGAGTGTAGTTACTGGGCAAGGAGCTTGGGGTGCACACTGCTTCTTTAATGGCTTGCTACAAAGCAAATGCTGAATATTAGTTGTCCTTTTTGCCTTTTTTGTAAATGTGAAAATCCTTTTCAGATTTCCCTTGGTTGGCAAAAACAGGTATTAATATAAATCTTTTATAAAAGTGAGGTGTGGTTTAAAGCAAGTTTTGGAAAAGTGGGAGAATACCTGTATTGGAAAAGGAATTTTGAGAACTCCTTTTTTGAGCTAGAATCCTACAGCTGGAAAGAAGTGAGAACAGTTCATCCCTTTAACTCCAGACATAATATATCTTTTTCAGATCAGGTCTTTTTCCTGTAGATTTTTAAAGGCAATAATTAATTTTTGCTTGTTTATGAAGGTATGGCTTTATTTTGTCTTGTCTACACCTTACCACTGCGATTTAAGTAGTATTCATTTTCTCACTTACACTAGTTATATTCTGTCTTTGTTAGACGGGGGTTGATTTGACCAAAGACAACATGGCACTTCAGAGAGTTCGGGAAGCTGCTGAGAAGGCCAAGTGTGAACTCTCTTCATCTGTGCAGGTGAGACGTGGACAAATTCCAGCCCCCTTGATGGATCTTTTCAGCCGGAGTTTACTTGAATAGCATATTTTAATTGGCATAATATTGGTGAGATTTTTTTTTTTAACCATTTTCTGGTTGGTGGTAAAAAATGCTTTTCCATTAATAGAATCATTATGTTTTTAATGAGTGAGCTGAAATTTGTTAAGCACCAAATCAGGTTATGTTACAGGAGCCAAATAATGGTTTAATTGAGAGCTGAATGACATTGAATATATTTACTTGCATTCTAGATGGCATTTTTAAAATCTAGACTGCACCATTATGCTAAGTCACTTCAGTCTTTTCCAACTTTTTGGACTTTTTGTGACCCTATGGGCCGTAACCCGCCGGGCTCCTATGTCCACAGGATTCTCCATGCAAGAATATTGGAGTGGGTCGCCATTTCCTCCTTCAGGGGATCTTCCTGACCCAGGAATTGAACCCAAGTCTCTTATGTCTCCTGCATCTAGACTGAGCAGTGTGCAAAATTAGAATTACTAACCTGGAAATACTAGGAGACTCTCAGAACTACTTCTGTTTTTATTTCAGACACCTTTTTTATGTAAGTCTCTAATTTATTTAGATCACCAGTCTAGACAGTTAATGAAACCTGGCTGAAAGCCGGGGAATATGTACCTGTGCAGGTTTGCCTCCATGGGCAGATTTGCTCAAATCTGTTGAAGGTTTTACCATATGTTGCTCCAGTTTTGAGAGATGAAGTTTCTCTTTGCCTTAACCACTAAGAAAAGCATAACAGCATGTTAGGTCCATGTCAGGAATATAACAAGATGGCAGGAGTTCTAATTCTAGATTCTCAAGTGGCAGCAGGAAAGAGCATACTGCTAGGTAGGTAGTTGATCACCCACTCTGGGAAGGGAAGAGGTGTTTATAGCGGCTGTTGTTGTGTTGGTAAAGTGGGTGACCTTCAGTCACATCTGGATTTTTTTTTTTAATAGCAGCTATGAAAGAGGGACAAAGTTGTACAGGGTCATCCATGAAGTTGATGGTATTCCTTTGTTCAGCTGTCAGAATTTGCAGCATGATGGTTGAGACTGAAATATGTAACACTACCAGAGGATAGCTTATGATTCTTTCTTCCTAGGGGGTTCACTTCTTGGAGTGATACCTTGGTTGGTTTTACTATGGCTGTATCCTATTGAAAGGTACTTAGATTGTTTCTTTGCATTTTGCTGTTTTATCAATAGCAAGATATATTGACCATCTTTGTACGTTAGTGTTTGTGCATATGTGATTGTAAGTCTATAGGTTAAACTCATAGAAGCATTTATTGCCCTTGTGGAATTTATACTGTAGTTTGGAGAGGTGGACATTAATTAAACATTATATCAATAAATGTCAGAAGTAATATAGAGGTTAACAGTTACTCTGTAGATAGACTGGTGGAGGTTAAGTTTCTATTTCATTGTTTGCTATATGACTTTGGATTAATTACTAATGTTTGTTTTCTTGTCTATAAAATGAGGATAATTAGCACACCATTTCCCCCTTAGAGTTGTGAGGATTAGTAAATTAATAGGTGTATAACATGCTTAGGACTGTGTAGTAAATAGCAGTGGTACTATAAGTGTATATGTTAATTTTATTTTCTAAAACAGGCAAACTTAGATTTATAATAGAGGAACTTGACAGGTATTTGACATAATTAGAGCCTCCTGCAAGGTGAGTTGATCAGGAACACATAAAGTGTCAGTTAAGTATGAGGTAGTGGGGTAAGACCTGAGAAAGGGTCAATGTGGCTGAAGTACAGACTAGAGGGGCAGGAGGAGCATAGAAGATAAGGCTGGAGGCTTTACAGATTGGAGGATTTGGTATCTTTCCTGAGATAATTGACTACAAATCACTGAAAAATTTTAAGATGGGGCAGTGACATGGTCAGGTTTGGGGAAAGCACCCTGAGGTGAAGTGTAAAATGTGGGGGAGCTGTGGCAGCCTGAGTGGGTGTGAAAAAATGTAGAGGGCTGTTAAAACTACACCAGGTGGTGAGAGAGGAAAGGACTTGGACCAGGGTGAGGTAGGGAGAGATAGATGGTTGATTTGAGAGAGAGAAGGGACAAAACTTCATGATGGAACTGGCATTTGAAGGTGGAAAGTACTGGAGTTTTTCAGTTTGTAACTTAGAGCACATGGAACTGCACTAGTACAGTAACCACATATGGCTATTTAAGATTAAATACAATTTAAAAATATTTATTTGACTGCACTGGGTCTTGGTTGCATACAAACCCTTAGTTGCAGCATGTGGGATCTAGTTCCCTAACCAGGGATCAAACCTGGGTGCCCTGTATTGGGAGCTGAGTCTTAGCCACTGGACCCACCAGGGAAGTCTCAAAATTTTTAAGAATTCCATTTCTCAGTTGCACTAGGTGAATTTCAGCTTTTCAGCCATGTGTGACTAGTGGCTGTGGGATTGAGAAGCACAAGTAGCATTTCCATTGCCACAGAAAGTTCTGTTGGATTGCATTAACTTTTTTCTGATTCGGTTTGACATTGTGCAAAGAGGAAATTGTTATTGGTGTTCTTAAAACTATATCCAGTATCACTGTTTTTACAGAAGGTTTGTTAATTCTTATTAAGCCTTTAACTGTCCAGGGTACTCTCCCTGAAGAAAAGTGGCTAAGGATTTGCTCCCTTCAGTCTTTATTGCTTTTTGGCCTTGTTTGATGTAAAGTTGGAGGTGCAGCATAAATTTAACTCTTCCTGGGAGTTCACCCCTGAGACACCTGTTTCTGCATGTTTAGTAGTGAGTTTTGTCAGTCTAAATATTCTTAATCCATACCTTATTAGGATTTGACGTTTATTGATACTATATGTTACATGGTGTGACTGTAGCAGTGTTTGCTGCTCTCTGTAACTATCATAGCAATAGTCAGTCCTTTAGGCATTTTTGTTGTAGCTTTTTTAACTATCTTAGACCCTGGTTTAGTGGCAGATTATTTGGTTCAGAGCATACTTTTTTCTCAAAAGTACACAGAATTTTTTTAAAAAACTTGGTAAAAACACAGTAGTGTAATTTCTTAATGCATGTTTTAATGGCAGGACAATTCTTCACCTTCTGAATGGGGATTTTTTTTCCTGCTTCTCTATTCCATCCTTCATTATTATTAATAGGTTTGTAGTGTTACTTCTGAGAAGATAAGAGGTTAAATCTTTTTAAGAGTCTGTCTTTGGTAGCTGTTCATTTAAAGTGTGTCTGATCTTCCCTGTGACTTGAAATATTTTCTAGTGTGTAGTCTTTAATTGAAGTAATAGACAGACTTCACAACTGGTCTTCCTGCTTCCCTTGCAGACTGACATCAATTTGCCTTACCTTACAATGGATGCTTCTGGACCCAAGCATTTGAATATGAAGCTGACTCGGGCTCAGTTTGAAGGGATTGTTACTGATCTAATCAAAAGGACCATTGCCCCATGCCAAAAAGCCATGCAAGATGCAGAAGTTAGCAAGAGTGACATAGGAGAAGTGATTCTGGTTGGTGGCATGACTAGGATGCCCAAGGTAAGTACCCATGGAATTCTTGGCATAGAGAGCAGAGAGGGCCAACATATGATTTCTTAGGACATAGCATATGCACACCATATGGCTTATGTTGTGTAGGGACATGTGTATGTGACCTTTCTACCGCTTTGGCCTGAAAGGGGTATGAATTTGTGTACTCGCTAGAGTTCTAGTCTTAAAGAGTATTTTTTAAAAGGATTAAGAAGGTGGGGGAATGTCTTTGGAGTATTAGCAAGGAGGACCCTGAACTTCAGTTTTAGAGAATTTTTCAGAATGAAACAGTATGAGTTCCAAGACACCTTAACATACAGCTTAACTAGCCTCTATAGGCAGTTTTGGATATGTGTTTTGCAGTATATTGTTTGGGTTTCTAATACCATCTTCAACAGAGATTTGTGCAATGATGCATTGTATCAACACATCATTCTGATAAGACAGGTGTGTGGAAACCTAATGACTGAGCACAGAACATGTTGAAAGTATAATTCTTTATAGCTTGAATAGAACGATCTTGGGCTTTGATTTTCATAATTTTTTCTTTTGAGTTCTTATGCTTAAATAAATAATGCAGACAATAAACTGGGGGTGCAAAAGAGAGGCTTTGAATCAAGCAGATATCTTAATGTTAACAAATTATCTCAGATGTCATATTCTTATTCTCAGATGTTATATTCAAATAAACTTTTTCCTAGCATTAGTAAAATATGGAGGGGAAAACATGCCTCACATCAGCACCAGTATTGAATTACTACTGCTGCTTTTAAGCTGAGTTTTAGTTGATACATAGAAGAGGACTTGGACAATATCCATTTAAGTCCCCTTGCCTTCCGCTTCTATTCCTAGTGTGTTGCTTGGGAAATCAGATGACAAAACTTAGGCAAATTGTTTCCAGATTTTAAAAGGCTATAAATGAGATATTCCGAGTAAAATACGTGTTTCCAAATAATATACTTAACTCATTAAAAAGAACTCAATTGCAAAATAATAATTTGAGTAAACATTTCTGGACGTGAAGCAGCCGGTCCCGGATCTGGTGGGGCCTGGGGATATGCGCGCTGCTCTCGTTCTCAGGCAGGTGCCCTGAGCAGCTAGTGACAAAGTTCTTTTTTCTTGGTGCTCAGGTTCAACAGACTGTGCAGGATCTCTTTGGCCGAGCCCCAAGTAAAGCTGTCAACCCTGATGAGGCTGTGGCCATAGGAGCTGCCATTCAGGGAGGTGTGCTGGCTGGCGATGTGACAGATGTGCTGCTGCTGGATGTCACTCCCCTGTCTCTGGGTATTGAGACCCTGGGAGGTGTCTTCACCAAGCTTATTAACAGGAACACCACTATTCCAACCAAGAAGAGCCAGGTAAAAGTCACCCCCTCCTTACTTTCTCACAGAGGTACTAGATTCTGTGAGGGATGTGATTGTAGCCACTTCTGTGAGCTCTTTCTAGAAAACTTTTCTTTTTGTTTTGCAGTTCACACTAGTTGAATGTGGGTGGGTGGTAAGAATCTTCTCACTTATTCTCTTATATTCCTGGAAAAGTTACCTGGTAAGGTGGTTACCTGGTGGTGATTTTAGGGAAGTCATCAAGTGTCTTCCTTCACAGGACAGTAATGTGCCAGAAGGAGCCTCATTATTTTAAAATCCCTACTTTAAAATCATTTTAAAATCCCTACTTTACTCTCAGAGGCAGTAGTAGGGGAGTGTGCTTGTCTTCCCAGTAAACAATAGTTCTGAGATACCAAGCCCAGGGTTATTTGGACAGTGGGTCTTAGATTTAGAATTACTTCCTAAACTTTCTGAGTTTTGATGTTTTTATGAAAGAACTATGACTGTTGCTTTGCTTGCAGTGATATATTGCCACAATATCATTCTGAAGAAAAGTGATGATTTCCTATGACTATGAACATAAATGTCCTTTCTCTGACCCATTCCTCTGGATGAGCATGTTTCAACATCTCACTTTTTATAGCTCCTTCTAGGCCTTATGTGCTAGTGTTGCATCTTTGTACAATGTGTTTGCTTAGCTGAAACAATAGCTATTGTATGCCCTTCTGCTGTGCTAATCCTGTTCCTGTTCTCTGTAAAGACATAGGCCTTTGTTCTGAACATAGTGTACGTTAGGATTCTTCCAGTGTTGGGATGTGAATTTCTTCCTTCGGTTAGCAGTTTGTAGGGGGTAATGGTTTAATCAGGCTGCCAGCCCAGCAAGTTTCCTTCTTTCCCCTAGGTGTTTTCTACAGCTGCTGATGGACAGACTCAAGTGGAGATTAAAGTGTGTCAGGGTGAGAGAGAGATGGCTGGAGACAACAAACTTCTTGGACAGTTTACTTTGGTAGGTATTAGGAATCCTGAAATTCATGCTCATGATCATTCTTTTAACACTGTTCTGACTCCTAATATTATAAACTGCAGACACAGTTTTTGTTATTTTCGCGTAGTATTCAAATGAATTCTGCAGCCAGATAACCAGGGCTTCAGTTTTTACTTGAAAGCCTTGCCTTGCTTCTTGTGCCTTGGGAACTAAGTCAAGAAGTTTATAAGCTTCAGGGAAATGTCCATAAACAGTGCTTTTTAGAATAAATTTCTCATTACTACTTTTAAAGACATTTGATACTGTTGCTGGTTTTTTGGCCACGCTGCACAGCATGTGGGATCTTAGTTCCGTGACCAGGGATTTAGCCTGTGTCCCCTGCAGTAGAAGCACAGAGTCTTAACCAGTGAACTGCTAGGGAAATCACTTGCTACTATCTTCTAGTCAGCATTACTTATTGTTTCTTACTGACAATGAGCAATGGAGAACTTTGCTCTCACTGTGTATTCTTAGGTACATAAAGCCACTACAGCTACTTGCTGCAGCCAGCTGGTAACTGGCTGGAACTCACTGGTATGAGTTCTTTATTTCAGGCAGCAATGAAAGTACTACCCTAACCTACAAACTCCTGTTTTTGTACATTTAAAGTGTAAGTTTCACTTGTTTCTCCCAGAAAACAGGTAATTTATTCCCCCAGAAGATCATACAGGTTTTGGAAACAGAGCACTGGACCTGTTGGTGAGAGAAGCTTACTCTGGTATTTATTTATCCTAGATTGGAATTCCCCCAGCCCCTCGTGGAGTCCCTCAGATTGAAGTTACATTTGACATTGATGCCAATGGGATTGTACATGTTTCTGCCAAAGATAAGGGTACAGGACGCGAGCAGCAGAGTAAGTTCTCTTACTTATTAGATTGTAAGAGTGAGGTAAGGGCTTCAGTGGCTCAGTGGTAAAGAATCCGTCTGCAGTGCAGGAGATGTGGGTTTGATCCCTGGGTCAGGAAGATGCCCTGGAGAAGGAAATGGCAACCCAGTCCAGTATGCTTGCCTGGGAAATCCCATGGACAGAAGAGCCTGGCAGGCTACAGTCCATGAAATCACAAGAGAGTCAGACTCGACTTAGTGACTAAAATAACAGAGGTTAGAGACTTTGAAGTTCCTCTCCATTAGGAACTACACTCTAGACTGTGTATATCTTCCCCTTCCCAGCCTCAGGGGAGGATGGTGAGTCCTTGCCCTCATTCTCCTTAGTTATCAGTGTCTTGCTATCAGGTATGGTGTTTATTCACCAAAACAAACAAGCACTGAGCCTCTGAATCGCTGATCTCTGTATATTAGACCCTTGGTCTCCCTCTGCTTATTATAGGCCAGTAGGTTATTATTCTTCTCCATAATTCACATCAAGATTAGCTACTCTGAACAGGAGGATTCTTTTTCTTAATACAGTAGAGAAAGAAGCATATGAAGCATATCATTTTCCTGAGAAATAATGCGGTGCCTTTTTTTTCATTATAGTTGTGATTCAGTCTTCTGGTGGATTAAGCAAAGATGATATTGAAAATATGGTTAAAAATGCAGAGAAGTATGCTGAGGAAGACCGGCGAAAGAAGGTGATTACTTCACTCGTAACTTATATGAAGTGCCTTTCTTATTTATTCTCATATAAAAATTGTTATCGAATCCAGCTTAAAATATCTTAAGACATCTCAGACCACAGTGATTTCTCCCTCTCTTTATACTCTTAATTGGGTGTAGCCATTAGCAGGTTGATTAAGTCTTCGTTCATACTGCATTTTTAATTTCTCTTAGGAACGAGTTGAAGCAGTTAATATGGCTGAAGGAATCATCCATGACACAGAGACCAAGATGGAAGAATTCAAGGACCAACTGCCCGCTGATGAAGTAAGTCTTCTTTTAAAACAGCTCAATAAGTTTGGGGTGTATTGTCACTGATGTCAGTGACAGTCATTTTTCTCTGGATCTTGATAGCAGTTTTTTTTAAAAAGTGTCTCTCTAAACATTCTGCTATATGTTCTGGGCTAAGAAAACCAGAAAAAATGAGGGTCTGGCTTTGTTTTGGTTTTAAGTGCAACAAGCTAAAAGAAGAGATCTCCAAAATGAGGGAGCTCCTTGCTCGGAAAGACAGTGAAACGGGAGAAAACATAAGGCAGGCGGCATCTTCCCTTCAGCAAGCATCATTGAAGCTTTTCGAAATGGCATACAAAAAGGTATTTTGCTCCTAACTCAATGTAACTGCTCTTGATCACTTTCACTGATGACTGATACACAGCCATTTATGGAACTGGGAGTATTGGACTTGGAAGTAAACTTCCTGGTCTTCTTGAATACTTCGGGAGGGAGAGGGGCTGAACCCAAAGGGAAGAAATCACTGAAACTGGGAGAGTGGAACAGGTAGGATATAGCTCCTTCATTTTTAGTTCATCAGAGAACAAACTGTCACCCTTAACATTAAACAAGTGACTCTCAAATGCTTTCTTACAGATGGCATCTGAGCGAGAAGGCTCTGCAAGCTCTGGCTCTGGGGAGCAAAAGGACAATCAAAAGGAGGAGAAACAGTAACAGCAGTAAACTTTGGAGTTGAAAGGACAACATGCTTGGGAGTGAAGGGATTTCCTGAGCTGAAATGGGCAAACTTCAGTCTTCTACTGTGTTTTTGCAGTATTCTATATATAATTTCCTGAATATGTAAATTTAGTGACCATTAGCTGATGATCATTTCATGAGTGACAAGTCCAGCAGTACAAAATTCACAGTATTTTGTCCTTAGCCTGTCATTCTTTTTCATTTCAGCTGCATGTAAAGTTGGAAAGATGATTTATTGATCATTCTAAAGATGTAACATTGTTTTGTATTGAAGTAGCCATATTTTCAAGGGGTGAAATCTCACACAGTGAAGACAGTTGGGTCTGGAATGAAACCATAAGGTGATGAGATCCTTCTAATGACCTGAGTACTGCTGTACCAGCCTGTATGTATGTGGAATTCCTCAATTGAGGCCTTGCAAAGCAAGCCAGCTGTGCCATGTTGGGAGGAAGGGCAGGGAAAGCTAGATCAGCAGAAAACTGAGCTAACTATTTATGTTAGATCCAGCTTTTAAAACACAAGTTGCCCAAATTTTCTGAAGGCATACTTTCCTAGCTACCCTTCGGCCTTATGTCTGGCACCTGTGTCCTTGATGACTGTTCTTTTTGATCCCTTCTGGACTTTTTTAAAAAAATAAATAGGAAAACCATCTTGATATTTTTGTCTGAGGACCTGAAATTTAGCTTCAGAAATATATGACATGAATTACATTTCCCAGTTCCCTGACCTGTAAACTGGATTTCCTAACACTAGCCAGTTTAAATTTCTAACAAACTGAAAACTTGAGAAGGCTGGTATGATAATCATTATCACCAAAGGCGAGTCTGATTCAGGAGTTTCTCTCTAGCCCATCTGAGGTTTGGAGTGTTGAATGTTAGATCTTTAACATGAAAACTAGGCCTCATACTTTTCAGGCTGCTTTCTGCTCTAAATAAAAACTTCAGAATTGGCTCACCATAATGAAACATTAAGTCCTAAGGTGTGATTTCAGTGGCTTAAACATCAGAAACCAGATAATTTCTATAGTTTTGCTTTTTCACCCTCAGCGAGTTGTCATGTCCTACTTTTTAAAATGTAGTTCTAAATATCACATGCTACCAGGAAGGTGACTACATCTATAACCCAAGTTTTAGGAATTTATTTTTAAAAAATTAAGGAGACTTAATTTTTAAAAGCTTCTTGAGGTTTATATGATAAATAACAGGCTCAAGTTTTCAACCACATAAACACTAAATGGGAAACTTGGGGGGTGTGCGGTATTTCTTTATGAACTCAAACTGCCGTATATATGGTGGTGGTTCAGCTACCCACTAGTAAAACTAACATCAGCACAAGTAGCCTTGAAAGGCAAAAAGAAATTTAAATTCAGATACAATCTTGTGACAACACATGCATTATAGGTCCGGAAAGGAAAACTGGGATTATCCAAGTAGTCTTGGAATGTACCCCTCCTACACAACAGAACAACACATGTGATCGGACCCCTTTTCCTATACTTTGACCTTGCTCAGACTGTCTTCTATATTTCCACTTGGTGACTCCCCTCACTTTTTTTAAGTAAGGCTTTGAAATTGTCATAAATAGCAGCCCTCAAGTCCCTGTCATTTCCTATCCTTACCCACCGCAATTATTACCACCTAATTTGTCTTTCCCTCATGGCTATGTGAGTTTTTTGGTCCTCCAAATCCCTGCTTTAAATACTAACTCCTAGGGTGGTGGTATTATTAGGTGGGGCCTCTGGGAGGTAGATCATTCTCATGATTGGGAATAGTACCCTAATAAAAGAGGTTTCAGAAATCCCTGATGCCCTTCTTAACATGACACATCATGACCTGGAAGAGGGCCGTGACCTGATCATGCTGGCACCCTGATCTCTGACTTCTAGCCTAAATTGTGAGAAATTCCGTTATAAGCTACACAGTGTATTTTATTCTGGCAGCCTAAATGAACTAAGGCCCACCCTTTTTTGCAAGTTTCAAGAACCCAGAAACTTGTTCACTGTTACTTCCCAACATTAGAACAATGCCTGTCACTGAAGCACTCAAATCTTGTCAAAACAATCTCTCCCACTGTCCAAAACTTTTGGGTGGTTTGCTTTCTCCATTTGAGAGAGAAAAGCCTTACTTTTTAAATTACTTTTTAAACTCTCCATCCGTCAAGAGTTCTAGGCGTAACAAACCACACACAGAAACTTAATTGGTGAAAGATTAAGAAGTCTTATTTAGAAAAAGAATTCAAGGAGAAACTAATGTTTACAGAACCAGAAGTGTGGCCTGAGGTACTCCTAGGCCAGCAAAGGGGGCGTAAGAGTGACCAGAATAAATTTGCAATCCTCTTTTATAGTTTCTACGTATTAAGTACAATTCTGTTGCTGACTCAAAAAAAATTTACCCAAGTTTTTTCTTAACTTTTAATTAAACCTATTAGAACATCTAGAAGAATGCTGTCATGAACACATAAAAACACCATTCACGTGGATTCAGTTAGCATTTTGCCACATTTGTACTTTTTAACACTCTGCTCGCTCTCTCTACATGTTTTCTGAACGTCGTGACACTTCAACCTAAATGGCACACTTACGAGCAAAACATTCTCCCTACAGCTAATAATCAGGAAATTTAGCACTGATAAGAATAGTTCCTTTGCCTTTTTGTCTTTTCATGGTGTTGATTTTGTTTTCAAGGGTATAGGCCATTTGTTTTACAGAAGACCTCTTTGGATTCACCTCGTGATTCCCTCGTGCTCAGAGTCATGTACACATTATTGGTAGGAATACTTTTGTTTTTATCAGTGCATCAGTTGCCAGGGAGAACAATATAATGTCTGTGCTTTGCTCCACATTTCTTCATCATTAAGTTACCTTTAATAAGTAACCTGTAAGGGTGGCTTAATTTTAAGTATAACATTTATACTAGAGATTCTGTAGCAAGAAGGAGCAGTAAAGAAAAAAGAAGTTCTTACAGATGGTACATGAGAAGACTGGGAGTGAAAAGAAATCAAAATTTGAAAATAAACTGCTTCAAACAGCCTTCGTATTTCAGATACCACTGTGACTCCATACTCTAGTCCTAAGGCTGTTTTGTAAGGGCTGTGTCTTCTTTACTTCCCTCTGGTATCAGAAGAACAATGCAATGAGTGAAAGCCCTAGATACAGGAGCTACAAAGCAACCTATATTATTCAATCAGTGAAGCAGACAATGTAGTAGTTACAGAAAGACCACTAAACAGCCATTTAAGTAGGTCAAAACCAGTCAAGTACCAATCTCATGGTTAAACCTAATTACAATGCACCACCATCAATCCCGTTTCTGCTGCAATAGGTTAGGAAACTCAATTTTCACACTAGAGAGAATACTGCAACTGAACCAACCTTTAATAATTACAGGTTTTCAACTCACAGGAGATCTCAGGAAACGAAATGTTCCACTTAAACCATAAGCTCCTAAACAGGTTCTTGTAGCCCCTGACCCAAAAGGTAGATATTTGGGGCAATGGCTGGGAAGTGGAGAGTCCACATGAGTGACTTCAGGGACCCAGAAATCACTGATTATAGAATGCAAGATTGCAAATACTATTTTTTTCTCGGGAAATGGTCCACTGCTCTTGATTTCTTGAAGGAATCTGTGACCAAAAGGGGGTTAAGAACCATAAGTTTTTCCTAAATGGGAAATCAATCTACCTTACTAGTCTAACTGCTGAATTCAAGCCATAATCGTTGATCCATGTCCCCCTTGCCTTTAGCCATCTCCCGTCTTGCCTTTTCATGTCTTACGTATCCTGGATCTACCTTCTTTCATGAAGCCTTCCCCATTCAGCCCACACTGGCTGTTTCACTCAAATTCTTACTCTTTATTTTTCAAATTTTTAATGTTCAGGAACTTAAAGCTTTTAATATTTTCTATCTTCCCTTGGATTACTTTGAAGCAAATTCCAGAAATCATAATTTTACTCTAACCTTTCAGTGTGTACCTCCAAAAGGATTATTCTATAAAATATAACAATATCATGATCACATCAAAAAAATAATCCCTTAATAGCAAAACTGTGAATGTTCAAATTTTCCCAATAGTTTCATAACTTTCTTTTTTTGGCTGCACCACAGGGCACACAAGATCTTAATTTTCTGACAAGGGACTGAACCTGTGCCCCCTGCAGTGGAAGCACAGTCTTAACCACTGGATCACCAGGGAAGTTCCATAACTTTTCCAACTGTTAATGAGTCAGGAGCCAGTAAAGCCCACACCTTGTATTGGTTGATACGTCCCATAAGTCTCTTTTGAACTATAGGTTTCTCTGCTACTTTTTCCTCCACTTTGCAATGTATTTGTCCTGCAACCTCTGACATCCTACTGGCTGCATTCCTGTGATGTCATCAACATGTTCTTCATCCCCTATGGATCTGATTCAGCTTAAGCTTTTTGACAAGATTGGGTGGTATGTACTTTCATCAGAGGGTATACAACTCTGGTTGGCTCTTTTGTGATGTCAGCAGCCACTGATGATCATTACCTAGTTCTCTAATTTCATTAAAGGTATACTATGCTATTTTTTCATTTTTTATATGGAATACCTCTACAGTGAGACACTGCTCATATCAAGGAACTAGTTAACCTGAAGTACAGTTCTTATGGGAAAGAACTGGTTTTTAAAGTGAGTTAGTTTTGTAGTATTAATCAAAGGTGAGACCAGTGAAATTTCTTGGGTGTCTTTGTGAACTCATGCGTTTTAACTTATTTCATATGCTTCAAGGGGCTTCCCAGCTGGTTGAGTGGGTAAAGAATCAAGCCTGCAAAGCAGGAGACCCAGGAGAGGAGGGCTTGATCCTTGAGTCGGGAAGATCCCACTCCAGTACTCTTGCCTGAAGAATCACATGGATAGAGCCACCTGGTGGGTGGTCCATGGGGTCACAAAGAGTTGGACATGACTGAAGTGAAGCAGCACACAAGGACGCACGCATGCATTGTGCTTTATACTGG